TGTAATAAATATTTTAAACGCACTTTTTTTGTTAGTCATCTGTGAGATAATTTGGAATTTGAAATGCAAGCTCTAGTATGCAAATCCAATTCTAGTTTCGGACACTTGTACGCCAAACCTCATACAACGGCTATACCTAGCCTACATATTATATTTCACTCATCGAAGTCCAATCGCGCCTATAAGTGATGCGGACGTTTTTCGCCTCGATTAAATATAACGTGGCGGTCGTCTTATCGTCTTATATTGTCCGTTCACATAGGTATCCATATCTCCTTGAGTAAATACTATATCTGCATAGTACATACCTTGTAGTATTACGAACAACTTTATATACGCGTATAAAATACTCACGTTTCATATATTATTGTGTCGTGTGTGTTGTGAAAGGGGTGGGGGTGCGCATGTTATGGTCGTGTCTGGTCGTTTTCAAACCATCAAGATTTAACGGTTATTGTACGGTAAACATTATTCCACGGACGCTTTTCGTCCACGTGGCCAAAATCGTATTTTTGTACACCACACAGACGAATAGAAACACACACACACACACACACACACACACACACGCACACAGACACATCACATATCGTAAAAATACACGACGGACCCGTTACACGCGCAAACCCGACAACATAATATTATATTATATGCCATGGCTACACGAGAGCGCAAAATGTTAATGTCCCGATAACGCTCCGGATAAGACACATAAAGGTATACGCGTATAATACTGTACCTACTTATACGGTAATTTTCCCGTCCGATTGTGTGTGTTCGAACAATGCTCGGCAGACAAGAGAATTGTGTGATACTGCTGCCGTTCGTTCATAAAATTAATTTTGTTGCACAACTACTGTACGCATACGACGCACATAATAATATCCGAGACTCAAATATTGTAAACAGTTGTATAGGTATAGACGACGACGACGACGACGAGCTCTATCGATGCGTACAATCGAAAATCATAGGGAGACGAACAAAATTGTGTGGTGTGGGAATGTGGGATTCGACTTGAAATGCTCAAACGCTGTCTATGGTAATGAGGAAACGTTGGGACTAATCTGAAAAAACGAAATGTATGCCTATTATAGTACGATGCTGTTATTATATTATGTATGACGACCAACGTATAAACATAAAGAAAGTATGAATACATAATTTGATAAGGATAACCAGCTGTAGTTTTCTGATTATGTGTAGATATGCTTACAATTATTTGGTTATAAACTCCAACTGGCACAAACTCAAAGTCCAATTGTTTATTTTACACAATATTATTTCGTGAATAGCTTGGAAAATGTTCAAGTCATTGTAATATACTATAGCAACAACTTTTTGGATGAATTACGCATAGCCATTAATCAGTATAACACACCTATTACAGTTTTTTTGTTTTAAACTTAGATCGATTTTGTTTATTTGTTGTAACTTAAAAATTAGTAAGTAGTTGTAGATACCTGCATTTTTCACCAATTATTTATTTTGGCATATTTTCTAGGCATAATTTATATATAAAAATATTTGAATATTTTAATTACTTTTGGGATATTTATTATATAATATGTATTTTTAAAATTAATACATTACATTTAAATATGTTAGCATAACACATGCTATTACAAGTTTATATTATATATTTAATATGTTCCACTTTTCTCAGTTTTTTTTATTTATGCATGAAAAAATGTTTGTTTGTTAGTAAAACTGCTTGACAATGTAATACAAAGTTTCATATAAGTTTAAGCGATTTAAGCCTATAGCGATTAAAAATGACAATGAATAAACGTGGCAGCCAATAGCCATAGTTGCCAGTTTTTTCTAAATAACAAATAATAATGAATTTGTAATTTTTGATTAATAAACCACAAATTTTCAACTAATCACATTATCATCATTATCTTTGTATTTTTAAACAATATACAATAATATATGACTTGACGAGCGCATTCAAACATCGCTTCCGTCTTCGGCCGGCAGTTGTAGTGGGGTGTACTTACCTACATTTTGTCGGTGTGTTTTAGTCAGCTTAATATTTTTTATTTTTTGACTAATTCCGTTTAGGTTTTTTTTCAACAATTTTATTTTGACTGTTATTACTTCCTGGTTGGCACACCCAACATCAATGGATGGTGATGACGATCATAATAATATTATAATGATATAACGACTAATAATTCGTGTCGGCGGCGGCATGCTGCTGCAACAGTGACAGTCCAGCCGAAACGATCGTTCACCGATCTGAAACCGATGGACGGAGGAGATTAAACCGGATATATTTGCACCCCGTTCTACAATAAAATAAATACTATAATAGTGTCGTATGTGTTCGAGTAGCCGAGCTCGCATATCGAGTACCAACATGTTTTATCGTAATGCGTGGCACAATGGAATTAACTTGTACACACTATACATGATATACATATATATATACACATATATAGGTGCACCCGCAGACCGAAAAAATAAAACAATATGTAATTCCCGGCGGCACACAGGTACTACACATAATAATAACATATACGTATGTATCTACATACGGCAGGATTCACACCTGAGTGATCGTCGGCGGTGGTGGCCGGTCAATGCCAACGGTGCACGTACATTATATTATATTATTATATTCTCTCTCCCTATATACATATATATATATAATATATATACATATATATATATATTATTTTGTACCTACAACGCGACGGCGGCGTCGGGTTTTTTTTTTTATCGGTCTAACGTATCTGCGTGCGAGCCGCGTACACATCCTGTCGAGCCGATTTCCGTAACCCTGTTTTATTGTGTTATCCCGGCTGCCGACCGAATTTTCGTCGATATACGATATTACAATAACGCTTCACGGTGAAACCTATTTCGTCCAAGGGACATCCATCGTGTGCAAACGGTGAGGTAGGAATTGGAGAGGTCATAGTGAATAACACTATACGCATATGCCACAGTAGTGCGTTGTTTTATTTGATTGTACCTATATAGATGTACAAGATAGTTCAATTCGTCCGCAAGCGTAATATTCTACGGTATTGTACAAAAAATCATCGAATTCGAAAGAAATATCGATTCTAAACAGACCCGTTACGAATTTATGATAATAATTATAACACTATGTCGTGGTTATGCCACTCATCTATATTAATTAAAAAAAATAATCATGAAATAAAGTTTACTTACATTTATTAAAATTCAGTAAAGGATATACAGTGAAACTTTTACCTAACGAAGTCTCGTGGGAGGAATAACCTCATATTCTGATAGAATGTCAAATTTTAATACAACTAGCATTTAGCATAAAGTAGTAACTAGTCAATAGTAAGTAGATAAACATTTAGTTTAATTACATTTGTTAAAAATGTAAATGCAGTTAGAACTTTACTATAATTTACTAGATTCACTGATGTTCAAAAATGGCTAAATTTTAGTCTAAATTTCTAAAAAATTAATTTTACTAACCACATTAAAATGTATATTCCACTACCATTTATTAAAATGTCAAACCTTAAATTTAATATACAAAAGTTAAAATTTAAAAATACTGTAGTTGGGTATTATTTGTAAAAATATTAAAATTTAAGTTTTAAATTCACAATATTTTATTTAGAATACTTTTTAAAAAAAAGTTGTTGAGTAACTATTTGAGTTTTAAAATTCTGAGCAAAATGTGGAAAGTAATTAGAATTTATAAAGCAATACTTTTTCTACCTACATAATTTAACGTTATAAAATAAAAATTCTTTCATTGATTTTGATATTTATTTTTAGTCTGTACAAGACTTTAATAAATAATTTATAAGAAATGCTAGTAAATTAATTGAATTATAACAAAACTACACAACTAAAATGTTGTAAATAGTAAATGTGATAATTTTTTTGGCAATTTTTCATTCATTTTTTCTTACGCTTATAGTTATGTAATGGAATTATAAAAAATAACTTCTGATACAAACTAGAAAAAAACATATTTTATATTTGAAAATATAATATTTAATAAATAATATAATATTTCGACTGATATAATACTATTTATTTACTGATTTATACTTAAAATATTTGCAACAACCATTGTCCTGGAAAAAAAAAACAACAGACAAGAAAAAAACACATTATTTTAACACAGTGATATATTAACAAAAAATTACAATCACAATAATGTATATAAAATATGTCAATTAATGAAACTTTGTGCAGAGTAAAACATTTCCGATCATTCATTCGTTCATATACTCTTCTTTTTGTATAGGTACTATTAACATAACTGAATGTATTTTTAATAGTATATAATTGACAAAGTAAATTCTGGATGAATAGTAATGTTATGTTTATGGTGTTTTATGTTTTCATTTTAAAGGAAAAAAATGTCAGCTCTTGTAATTTACAGTTGTTATTGTTATGACTTTATGAGAGTGCCCGTCAACATATTTTCTAGTATGTAATGTTCTCACAGTATCTATTTTACTCGTTTTCTTTAATTATTCTGGAATCCAATTTCCAATATGATTCAATTTTCAATCAAATTTTTTTGAATCAAGTGATGATTCTTTTTTTTTTTAATAATATAATATAATAATTTTAAAAAATCTATGTTACTTGTAAATATCATAAATATCATTTTTTTTTTTTACCATACGATTGAATACTACTGAAATGAACACAATCGACTTCCAAAACCACATTATAAAAATATATCATTGATATTGATGAATGTGTCCCATATTTTACCAACCTACCTACCCACCTACATATACCTACCAATAAAGCATATTATTATAACCTCTTGACGCCGCCGCTGCTAGGCATCGCCATCACCACGGCCATCGGTCGCACAACAAACGGTTGCCATGTACACATACCACGGTATAATATTATATTAGTGGGATTGCGGGCACCCGAGGACAGCTGGTCTAGGTTAAACACAACGTATTTTTTCCACCCTGTCGCAATATTGTTGTAAAATCGTTATTCTACTGAGCTGGTCAATTTTGTCCAAAATGGCCCGGAGAACCGTCGAAAATTTTAACGGATTCGTGGCGACGACGGTGAGATTTGGATATTTTGCCGTTGTTTTTATAATTGTAATTACGTTTAATACAAACGACATTTCTGTTTTCAGGTTCGTCCTCCGGCGAAGAAGTCGACCGCACAACCAGCAGCGCCAAGCCGAGCCAGGCCCGGGGTGACGGCGACCGGCAAAAAGAACGTACCGGTGCCGGCGGTAAAGACTACCGGCGCGGCGCCGACTGCGCCACCGATCAAAAACAGTCAGTATTACCAAGGAGACGGATGGTATCGCCTTTTAGTCCAAATTCGATAATGTCGTATACAATGTATTATTAATATATTAAATAATGATCATACGGCCGTTGTCGACATTATTATTATTATTATTTTCTAACGCCTGGTGGCTATTGGGGGAGGAGGGGTGGCTAGAGACAATAAGTTATTACTTCCTAGTGGCTTGCACCATCACCAAAATCATTTTCACGAACATTCAATTGATACGTCAATGAACAAACTATATGAGTGATTGGCTCATTCGTTGGAGGTCACAATATTTGTATTATTTATTTCCAAAAAAAAAATATATCGTTCTTCTCCCGTAGTGTTGAAAAAATTTTAAGTACTCAAGTGTGTTTATATATTTCCTCGAATATATATATATATATGCTTTTCAATTGACGATGCTTTAGTTTGTATCATATCATACAATGCAATGCATAAATAAAAGGAAAGGAGAAAAAACACTTGAAATAAAAACTATATTTAGATCCGAAATATTTTTGAAGAGTCTTGTAAATCATAATTAATAATGTACCTACAATTGTACCCATTAATGAATCATAAAAAATAAAAATAAATAGTTCTAACATCAAATTATATTTAATAATTCCAGTTAGTGTTTATGCTCTATTTGTTAATAAAACGCGTGATACAAAATTATGACTTTTAGAAAGTATAAATGAAAATTTAAATAAATAAAGAAAGGTTGGTAAATACAGGATTGAAAAGAATAACCAAGAAAAATTACGGTAACGTAAAAAACGTTAACAAACAAAAATTGTTTTAAGCTTTGGACAAAGAATATATTCAAACTTGTCGAATTAATAATTCTGGTTACCAATCCATTTAAGTATAATTTATATTATAAATAATTAAAAACAAGCTACTTGTAATATCTACACCTTGTTTTATTTGATTATTAAATTATATTATAATCATGTTTTTTAAATTAAAAATATTAAAATTAAGTAATACTATATGATTTTTTTTATTGCTGACTGTAATTTTTACACTGCTACAATTAAATAAGAATTACAAATAAAATGATCAGTTAGGTACTTGTGCACTTAAAATAAATATTATAAAATATTATAGGTACTATATTCCTATAAATTAAGTTCGATATCAATAAAATACGTACACTAGACTAGCAGTATAGCCAGACTTCGGCCGGAAAAAAATGAACAATAAATTACTGGCACGGAATATATCGGTGAATCTCGTTTTTAGTGTATATGAGTTCAAATATTATGGCTCTTGGTATATTTCTGAACGGTTCGAACTACTCTCTAAACTTTCTGATATATCTAAGAATAATTTCTGAAATTTTGTCAAAACATATCAAGTAGTTTTTGAGCCTTAGGTTAAGTAAGGTGTATAGTTGTATAGATAATGTTAAAAGTGTTAAAAACACCTTAAAAATGTAACACTTGTAACAGTGAAAATTAACAGAAATTTACGATTTTTAAATGTAGTAAAATAATATATTAATCGTATTTACCATTTAGTATATTGTACTATTTAATTACCGAAATTGCAATAAGATTACCATATCTTAGTAACTTACAACGATAACAGTGAAAAGTCTAAATTTGAAATGTTGAAACTGAAAGCTGAACGTTCGAACAATAACTAACGTAATTCAATTATTAAATGCATATTATTTCCTAAAATTGAGGGTAGGTATATAATATTTGCTAACATATTAATTGTACGTAATACATGGTATAATTGGTATAAATAATTAGAATATCGCTTATTTATTTTCTCGAATCAGAATTTATTAATATTTCAATTATTAATGTTACCTGCTCGTTTAATTTTGTTTCTACAATTAATACAAAGGAATCTGTATGCAAAGAGCGTTAACTTGTCCTATTACATATCATAAAATAGGTGCGTAACGTCGTTCTCTTAAACAGTTTTAGTTTTAGGTACGCAAACTTCCGAATACCTAATACAGAGGGTTTTTTCAAACATAAGTATATACAATGTATACATAAATTATACATAGGTACATTCATAAATTTCCTTGAGATACAAACTATTAGTAAAAAAAAAAAAGGCCACGGAGGATGCATCTCCCATATCCTCCCCCTTGTAAATACCCCACAGTCTGCCTGAGTAACTAATGGCGACCATTTTTATACAAAAAAATATACTAACTTCTACTAGTTTTTCTACTACTACTATTATTATAATCAGTAACCGATAGCAACCATTTAAAAAAAAAAAAAATACTGATATTTACTAGTTTTTCTAATTTTCTAATAATAATCTATAACCAATGGCAACCATATATAATCATTAACATTGTTTTTGATTTCCATGTCAATCCAAAAATCCTTGGAAAATCTTTGTTAGAGCACCCCTGCATGATGATACGAAGTCATTACAAGAATTTCAAGTCTTTAGCAATAATATTTTAGGCTCTATCTGCATCAGTCAGTCAGTCACTATAGGTTTGATTATCTTATATAGTTACATGTAAATTCCATAATATATTTTATAAATTTCAGCAATTAGATGATAGTAATATTTTCTAGTACTTGACAATAATATTTGCCGTTGGGTATAAATTTACGTTTTATATTTTTTTGTTATGGTCGTATAATATTTTAATATTTAAACCTACATCCATCCTACTTTTTGTAGTTCCAATTATTTCCATGTTCTCATTGCATTTTTTTTTTTTATTCTTTGATATTTTAATATATATAACGATCTTTCGTTTGAAAGACATACTTCATACTAAAGTCAAAAATCCAAAATATTTTGTGATCAGCATATTTTATATTTTATTACAAACTATATAATTTATCTTGATACTGTTACCAAACTTCTTATTTATTTCAGTAGATAATTCTATAGTAGGGCTATGATTATTATTTGTATTTTTGTACAAGATGGAGCGCATTGTAAATTTGTTGTACCCCTAACCCAAGTTATAGACAAACATTTTTGATGTTGTAAATAATGGAGAATTCTAACATAGAATATCGATTTCCAATAAATTGGTTACTTTACAAAATGTGAATTGCTTCGCGAATTGAGTTTGACATGCTTCATAATTGTGTGCAAATCTGTGCCAAAACGTAAAACAATACATACATTAATGGCTTTTAAAATTATTAATATCTGAATAATAGGCTATCAAACGTTTATATTGATAATTGAGTGGATCGTTTTTGTTTAACAAGGTTTATTGTTACTAAGTATAATACACAAATGTATATTTTTATGCACGGAACATGAAATGTTGTGTTATTCAAATCTGTCTTAAATACATTCGTTATAACTTATAATATTACCGGGTTATAATATTTCAAAGACACGGACGCTGATATTCACATCATTAAATGGATAAAATATAATTGTTGATAGCAGGTAAAACGTTGTAAACAGTACAAGTAGGTAATCTGAACTAGATCTTTTGCAAGTCTTTTGATCAGTACAACTCGATTGTTTTCTGAACCAAGATTAGTTTTCGAATGTTTTAGCGGTCTGTTCTCTCCCCAACTACGATTACTTTTATCTCTTTATATTTAATAAACACAATTTAATATTGCTTTCTAGGACATTGGTTCAAGTTTTTATTTGACCTTATCGCAGTTGTTTTTATTTTTGCTTAATAATTGTAAACAATGTAAACAGAACCATAATTCTTGTAGTAGATTTTCCGAACAAACAAGAAACCCCTTTTTATTGGCATTTGTCGTTGCTGGACGATCATTTTCACAATTGTTAACTGATTAAACATATGTAACTGGAATAATATACTTTCCATATTATTATTCTAAGTACCTAGATGGCAAACGGTAAACCATACCATGAAAGTTGCTCTAAAGCAATATAATTGACATTTATTGTTATTAAATATGAGATTTTTTTATTTGAATATTGTTTGATTTACCTAATATATTTATAGTTTGTATATTATGTATGTTCTTTTGGAATAATTCATACTTACTATATAATTATATTCTGTTAATGATTTGAAATTATATTGACCCATTCGAAAATTATTATTTTTATTAAAACGATTATAATAATATATAGCATGTAAAATTCACCTCGTTTTATAATCTGACTAGCTTAAAATACTGATTTGACGTAAATGTTGAGATTCAAAATAAAAATGTAGGAATTATAATAATATATAGATTATCATTTATTCATATTATTATTATGGTATACGAAAATTCTAGGGTTATATTATAATGTTTAAAATATTCAAAAATGTCACAAGAAGAATATATTATTATAATGTAAATTTTATTTGAAATATTTAGAAGATCAACGTAACACCCACCCATTTGCGAAAGTGGAAAACCCGCAACGAAATGTTACTACAAAAAAACTCCCGGTCGATGTTAAAAATAAACAAGTAAAAGTTAGTATCAAACAAAACGAAAATAAAGTCTTATACAAAGAAAACAAAGAAAAACCAATCGACAAAGTTGATAATAGTACTGCGGCTCACAGCAATTCATCAGACGTATCAGATAACCAAGAATATGAAGATGACTTTGAAGTAAAATAATAAAATGTACAAAATATATTTTTCTTACTATATTATCATATTTTAAGGATTATGAATCTGACTTTGAATCTGATACTTCGGTTGATTCGTTAACACTTGAATCGCCGTTGAAACCAACCATGGTAAGCCAGAAAATTTCAAATGACACTGGAAGTGTGAAATTTGCGCTTCCCGTGTGTGTGGAAGAAAAATTAGAACCATTCTTGGATGAGAAGTTTGAAATAAACTCGTTAGAACGGACTATTGAGATGGGCCTAAACAACTTTAAAACTGCCGGGAAGAGGAAGCGAGAACAAGAAGTATGACTAATCTATACATTATGATCAAAATTACTTTAAGGTTAAATTTAAATGTAGGTAAAGGACAAAATCCAAACTAGGGGAATTGTTTTGATGGAGATGATTAAGCTAGACACTGTTAGCTTTTCGCTGTTAGATTTACCAGCAATACCTTATGAACAATATATAAAAATGTATGGACGTTCAAACATGACGCAGGTAAAATTACAATTTTAAGTACAAATCATAATGTATTTTTACTGTACCAATGTACAGTGTATTTTATCCTTATTCCTCAAAATTAGATAAATATAGTAATGAGACATATTTTAAAAACAAACAATTGCAATGAAAATAACATAAATATACGATTTTAAAGGTTTATCATTAAAATAGTTGAATACTTTCAGATTCAAACACAAACTCATGACGAAAACGCGGAGAAGGAAGTACAAACTGATGAATGTGATTTGGCCGAAAAATGGACTCAACATCCCATAGTCTTGACAAATGATATGGCCTGTTCATCAATTGAATATTTGAGAGTAAATAAAATAAAAACTCGATAATACGCATAACATATTATAAACAAGTAAAATCCATTTATAGTTTACTGAATTTTTAGGAAGTCACCACTACCATAACGTATAATACTGTACAATTTATATAATTATACCATAGCTGAAATTCTTAGCTTTACTCATGTTGGATCTTATTTCAGATTCTAAGCAGAGCAACGAATGTATTGATTTCACAATGTTGTGTAGTTTTATTTTATTTTTGTGTCTGTTATCACATTTTGGGGCAGTAAATATACTACTATATATAATACTACTATGATTTTCTGTTTAGAATCTTTTCTGTTAGTTACGTGAATATAGTTGGTATTTTAAGGGGCCAACTACAAAACAATTATCGTAAGAAAAAAACAAAACAAAAAATAAGAAAACTCGTTAATCTGTATGCAAGGCCAGAGTTTGACAAAATGCATTTTTTTTTTTTTTTTGGTGTAGTTACCAAAAACAAATAACCGTAGATTCTTTACAATTTCACCTAATGTTTATGTTTGGCCATATTATTCCATATAATATGCTGAAAAGTTTTAAAATATTTTGTTTTTTCTTGAGCTATTTAAACATTTTTTTTTCAATTTTTTCAATTTTTTTTTTTTTTGTAAATATCAATAAAACATTTTCATTGGGTCTAACAGCTTGAAAATGTAATACAAGGCATTTTATAAATTGTTATAATAGCTGTTTACAAATGTTAAACATACAAAGACTTGATTTTATAAGCATTTAAAGTTACAATTTTGATAAGATTCGTTAAAATCGACAATATTTTTAAACTATGTAGTGGTTGAAATGTATACAATTTTTAATTAGTATAGTTAAAGATTGTAATGTTAAAAAAAGATATGAAACTAATAAATCTAAAAAATTAAAAAAATTAGAGAAATATTAGACATTTAAACGAAAAATAACAATTATAGGTATTTAAAAATAATATTCGTGGGCAGGTACTACTACTTGAAACTTTCGATGTACATTATTACTTTTATAAAATAGACACACAATGTCATTTTAAAATGCTATTTTAGATGAAAAAATTAATTTAATCTACTGTATTGCTAGTAGTAAAACAAATTAGCTATAATATCTTCACTCAGAATAATTTTTCGTATACCTACAATGGTTTTATATAATTCAACTCAAATTTAAAACACCCATTTAGTAATCGACGCAACACCTAATGTACAGAAATGTGGTGCCTATTTGCTCATCTTCTGTTTTTGTTTATTTTAGTCATAAAAAATTTAAAATATCATGTTTCTAAATAAATAAATTATAATATATAAGTATGAACGAAAAATCAGAACAGAAAAATGTCAAAATAAACTATTTATTCTAGTTATAAAAAAACACAATATAAATTAATAGAATTGTGTTTCTCATAATTTGTAATCTTAGTGTTGAGTCTCTTCAGAAGGCAGCAAAATAGTTGTTTTGTACCCGTATTTGTGTGGTCTTATAATATAGTATTTTTACATAAACGAAATTGCAACTCCTATATGATCCAAAATTTGGTCGCTTCATTATTTAATATTAAGCGCATAATGGTGTTTTATATTAAAATTTGTAATTAAAAGAAACTAATTATATAAAAAAAAAAATAATTTGTAGAAAAATTCCATTGATAAAAGACGTATCAGTTTTTCCAAAATATTTCCAATTTTTCTTTCGGTAAAAACCTTATTCAGAATAATACTACCATTTCAAAAATAAAAATGAGCCACATGGGTCCAGTATAAGTTAGTGATTCGGTTATTAACGGACAGCTTTTCATTTTTATTTTATAGATAATGTAGTAATATATAAAAAAATCAGGCAGATAGTGTATTACTATTTCATTGGTCAATTTTTCCGGGACAGGATTCATTAAATTGAAACCTGCTCTGTCATGTATTCTAAAGATTAAGAAAAACCGCTGGATAATTGGATATAAGGTTACAGAATCAATTCCCGTGTTAAAAAATCTTAAACACATATATTTTATATTGATTCACTACATCTGATCAGTATCGTCTCTTGTATGACAGAAATTTACAGAATTACGTAAGACAAAACTATCGTATATGATAACATATCAATATACTTTTATATTCCAAATTTAGTATACTATAATAATATGTACATGTGCATTCAAATAATTATGCAATATGTATGTATTATTTTATGGGCTTTTCATTACTGCGGTTATAGATTTTATTTTTGTGGGAAGACGTCCGTGAAAAATTGAAATACGTTTGTTTCATGACTATGGTACATTTATCAAAAATATTTTGAAATGCATTATAATACTAAGTAATGCGTAGGACTATTAAGTTTCTGCATCGTTTATAGTTTATCGTATATTATTGCAATTTGATTGAATGGCCGACTTCAAAGTTGAAATAAAACCACATTTATTCATAACGCAAGGTTCACAAATTTATACAATATTTTAATCCAACCATTTTTTATATATTTAACTGAATTTATTTAAAAATAATTTAACTGTCATAGTCATCAATTTTTTAAATTTAATATCACTGGAACACTATTGTGTCCTTACATTTTTTTGATAGGCACTTATTTGTTCGCACTTGTTAGGCATGATAATTATTTAGAATATGTATATCATGAGCTGTAGATGCTAGATAGATAGTATACAAATGTTTGTCTCATAGTATAGGATTGTGAAGCTTTTATAAACTCGATTACTTTTGTTACAGGCGAAACAGGGAGTCGGTGGTACTGAACCACATGATAATCATCGTCGAACTCACATAACCCTGGTAGATCCTGACAGGGTGATCGAGGTCGCCCGAATGATGCTTTCGATGTTGGAACAGCAGTCAATGGATCGAGCTGAACATAGGCTAGTTGCTAATGACTTTGACTTAGACTTCAGCAATGGCTACCTAAGACCGGCCGTCTCCTCCTTGAAATTTCTCACAAAACGTACAGTCACATCCATAGAATTCACGAAGGTCATGTCAAATGTCGAGTCACTTGTTACGATGCATGAAGTATATACTATATAATATTATATATTACATTTTAGTTAAATAACTCATAATTAAAATCTTTAAGCTGGTATTTAATTTTCTTAAATAGATTTCCTATTCAGTAATTTTATTTGTATTTAAATAAAATATCAAATAAATAAAAAATCAAGTCTATCAAAAAAACTAAAATAATGAAAAATCTAATTGGCAAAAATCAAAAGTATTTAAATACCAGTTAACTGAATGATACCGGTATTTATTTGGTTAGTAAAATATTATGATAATTATTGAGTTCATTGTGTCATAAAGATACTATATCAGCTATGATTTAAAATAATGTCTCAGACAATTTAAAACCAAACCTAACATGCCATCTATTGTTGACATACATGATACATAAATCTTTGTGGAAAATTGATTTCTGAATATTTAAATTATTGTGATTAAATATTGTTTTGAACCTAATTGCTATAAAATGTATAATTTTAATTAAAATAATCAAGTTGAAGAGAATACTTGATAGATGTACAATGTATTTTTCTTTTCAGGTAATGGATTCAATGTATCAATATATTATATGTATCTGGAGTGTATCAACTACAGAATATCCTGAGTATGTTCTGAAATGTCCTAACCAAGTTACATCATTTTGCACCAGCTTTAAGTCGACCACAGGATTTGTTACAGCTGCACATGTAGATGGGTAAAATACAAATTATAAATTAATTAAGTAGGTACTACCTGATATGGTTGTTTATCTACATTTTGGTACATTTGTATTTTAAATCAATTAATAATTGTTAAACTAATAATTAAATGACACCCTAAAATACTACTTTAAGTTAAAGTAATTTTATAAAGATGTTTTTTAAAAAAAATGCATTATTTGGAATGTAAAATGAAACTATGATAGTATTATGTAATAGGTAGCGATGAATAGTCATACTTTACATTGATAACTTAATAATATATTCAATTAAAAATTTTGTTTAAATTGAAATGTAAATAATAAGTATCTTTTGTCAAGAATAATATCAATTTAATAATAATATCAATAATATTAATATCAAGAGCAAGTAAATGTACTAAGAACTATATGTGGCGCAATCTAGGTTTTAACAGACAAAACTGAAAACATTCAAAATACATTCAATGATTTTTTAAATAAATTATATAATATCGATTAGTTAAGATGTACTTACATCTGTTTTATATCATAAATTATTTTAATTATAATGTCAACAAAAAATTTTAATGAAACAAATGTAAAACTCTAAACCTTAGATGTTAATCACATTATTATTTACTTGGTAACCACTCAAAACTTAATCTTAATAAAAAAACTACTAATCTATAAGCAACATCACATGCCCATATTACTTACGGCATCCAGGTATGAAGTGTGGCTAATTTGTCAAACTTAAACAGAATACAAAAATTACAATCGATCACATTGCGCATGATAACAAAGGTTACGTATCCAACCATTCCAACCGCACACTTCATTCAAATCTGCACATCCAAAAAAAATTAAAATTAAAATAAATAATTGTAAGATACTTATTGAAAAATTAACAATGAATTGGTAGTTTCTGCAAGGAGAGGATTTATAAATTATTGATTTGTGTAAATAAAATCTAGAAATAAATAAATAAAAAATAATTAGAATTTAATATTGGTAGTCATTATAATATATTAATCATAATAATACCATTTTAAAACTTAGTATGACCAAGTTACTTGACCTTTTATTCTGAATCCTTTAACCTTTTAAAACTATAATTATTGTTATTCTTGTTCTTTTAAAGACAACATTTATGACTAAATCGCTTAAGATTCATTCCTACTTATTATAGTAACTACAATAAAACATTTAATTCAGTTGTATCAAAAAAAAAAAAAAAAAATGATACCGTACAATATACATTAAAAAAACTGTTTTGGGTATTTGCAGTAGTATATGCGTCTGGGATTTAAGAGAATCCAAACTGCATCACCAGCAAGTTAACGATCTCCCTTGTCCACTACGTTCGCCGTCTTACAATACAGGTATAACGAACGTTAGAAAATCTTAAAAATGATCACTTCGTATAAATTAACGCTGTTTGAATTTGTTTAGCATTATCAGTCGACCAAGGTCACAGGTCAAAAATTGTTGGCTTAAGCACGGTAATATACAACAATATCACTAACGAAGAATTACCAGACGAGGTAAGTGTTTTTAAAGCAGAATATTTTAATATTTTCGTTAAATGCACAACTTTCATAATGTATTATTTTAACTTTGTCTGAGTATTTCTTAATTTATCTTTATCACTATCTGTCCGCCATTATATTAAACACAAAACAGACCAGTGCATTTTTATGGTTTACATTATAACGGTCAAATATTATAATTTTCTCATCGGTACATGGACTTATTTACTAAACAGATACAGTTAACGAATCGATTTTACAGCTTTGTAGCTTAGACGAAGATTTTGTGTTGGCCGTATGGACGGTCGTGAATAGTTGGGAAGACGCTTCCTAAATTTCAGAAAACAAAAGTTCCGGCACTGCACCATGGAGTTCCGTGAGACTGGTTAAAATGCAAACTATCAACGCCAGTAAAAATGTTCCTAGGTATGAAAAAACTGTGTTTTAAACTTAATATCATCAAACCGTTTTACAACAATAAATAATTTATTGTTTAAACTCATTATTGATTTCAGATATTTGTCGAATGGTGTCACGGCCACATGCTTGCGCTTAAATAACAATCAAGACGCTTTTATTGGCACTAATTGTGGACTGATTTTTCGGTGCAATTTGGGGGGACACAAAGTATGGCCATCGTACTTCACCTACGAGAATACAGGTAACTAAAATAGCTTAAAAATACAACGATCTTGAAATGGTTACTGTTATAATGTTATTATAAAATACATCAGCCACATAACTTAAAATACATATAGTTATTTTCTTTTAAATCAGATTCAATTCAGATTTCAACTGATTCTCTAAGTATCCTTATAATCTAAATTAAAACGTTAACATCAATTTTTGTTGTCATCATATATTTGGATTTTTATCAGCAAAAAAATGTATGACTTTAAATAAACATCTGTTTTTATACACCACTACCACTTCCTTGTATTCATAGTACAAATAGTAAACGAATAATACACCTCCATGTACGAATAAAGTAAAAAAGTATACATGTTATAGGTGAACATTTTTCCGTGAGCTCGTTGGACATCTGCCCATTTGACTTGAATTTTTTTTTGGTAAGTATTTTTATTTCCCTTATTTATTTTACTATGTATTGAATTGTTAATATTTACATATCCATTTAAAAATATTGAAAAAAACTTTCATTGGATCAAAAACAGGTGCTTCACTTCCGTATTAAAATACTAATATAACTGGAAAGCTGGTTAATATTTAATCAAACACGTTGCCATGCAGGCTTAAATATTTAAATTATATAATTATTTATTTAATTAATGATTTAAAATAATACTATACAACAATAAAAACATATCAACTAATTGTGTTTCATGCAGGTTATATTTAACAAAGTGTATTAAAAATTACTCGTCTGCTAGATTTCATAAAAACAAACTACAATAAAACATAAAGTGATAGAATAAAAAGCAATAGTTAGTCAAATTGTTGTATTATGTATCATAGACATTTTTCAGTGTGAAAATCAGTTGGACAGTAAAATGGTTAATGATTTATGAGTATTAATAATAAGAGTAAATTCAATACGAACAACATAAAATAGAAAATATTATTATTTGTAAATACATCATTCACATTAACATAATATTATCCTAAGTTGAACCATCTATTTGAGAAACGACGTAAGTCACAAAATATCACAAATTGAGGTATGAGTGTAATGTGTTATCAGATGATAAAGGGTTCATGCATAAACATTTGCAAAAAAAAAAAATTATTTTACCAATGTAAATAATCAGTATGAAAGAGGAATAACCATGTATCACTGGTAGCGTAAAAACAGTTTTTCTTTTTTCTCAGAATTATATTTTACGATCTTACGTCGTACCTCAAATAGTCACTTCAGTAAGTTTGTATGTTTTATATCAACTTGTATGATATTGTTCCCTTTGTTATAAATATTAGCCTTATGAAGATATATCATTTGAGAGTGCACATCTTATTTTAAATAAGATATTTTTTAAAAACCTATTAATTTACCTAACCAGTAAATTTCTAATTGGTAAATTTACCTGATTTATATCTCTAAGTAACACTCGATTCAGTAACAAAAATAAATAATTGATTATTTTTCAATTTCCATCTATACATATTGAAGTACCTATATTGCCTATACTTCGCGCCGTGTAACACTGAACGTTTAGACAAAAATTATGAAAAGAGACTGTACAGTCTACGTATAGTGGCGGCTGGCTTAAACTGTTATATTATTATAATATTATATTAGAAATGACGAATTCGAAAGACGTACCTGTTTTAATATTTCTAGTTCCTCATAATTGACTGTTTTTTTTTTTTTTTGATAATAAATATACAATCTGTACACTAAGAATATGAGATATGCTATTTTGTACATAAAAACGTGAGGGAAGAAGCCATCCAGTGGAAGCACTATATTTTTTTTTTAAGTTGCATTTATTTATTTAGTAAATCTCGACACCTACTTCTTTTCAGTCGTCATGAGAGATTGCCTGGATGGTGCTAGAAGCTAAATTGGATATTAGAGGATTAGATTGATATGGAAGTCTTTTATGGAATCTTTTGTAAAATGTTACTGCTTCGACTGGAACTGTAATATTTAAATATGTGTGCAGAGTGCAGTTGGAGACATATGGTGGGTCGTTAGTTATTAATCTTACAGATTTTATTTTAAGCAGTTTGGATTTTATTTACATTGGTTTTTTTGCATTTCTCCATAACTGTAAGCCATGAGTCCACATGGGCTTGATTAATGATTTGCAAATGAGAAGTTTGGTATTTAGTTTGGTGTATTTGTTAGATATTAGTATTATTAATAACTTTCTGTTAAATATTTTTTTTAATGTTTTTTTTTTTCATATTTTCATATTATACGGATACACGGAAAAGAAGTGAAAGTTGGAGACTTAAATAAAATATGTTATCACTAAACCATGCGGCATGCTAGAATACATTTCCAATTTCCATCATGAATCTCTAAATCTGTGTTTGTGCACTATTTAAAATCAACATTTTTAATATTCTTTCTTATTGCACATATTATTATAGATCATAAGAGGTATATCTAATTTCAAGTTCGTACATTTTGTAGTTTATGGGATATAGCGACGAGTGAGTGAGTGGCATTTGGCTTGAATATATATATATATAAATAGAGATAATTTTAATTTATACCAACGATTGTTTCGTGTGTAAAAATATAAAATAATAATATTTAATTTTTAATCCAGATTTTGTGTCACATTTTTTTGGCTGCTATGGTAACGTAATTATATTATTCATTGGCTGCTAAGTGCAATCTAGATACTAGGTACCTATAAAGCTAAATTATATTGTTAAAACATTAACTGTATTTTTTCTTTGTTATTGTTTAGTTGCTATGGTAGCTGTAATGGTCAGAAAAAAATGTCATATTCTACCCAAAAACTTGTACATTTCATTGTTAAAAAGTAAAATGTACAAACGAATTCTTAAATTGATGACTGACATAACAATACTGAGCTCTTTTTAAGTCCTAGTGCTACAAAATTTTTAAGCTCTCGTCAGTTGTAGTTAAATTCATATAACATATTATGGGGGCATACGCGGTCCGAGCAAGGTAATCGAATACACTAGCACGTCTATTTAAAGTGTATTTATCATGCACACTCACAGGCGTTCAACTGAGTCCCCTATTAATAATTCACTAGAATGCCGACCCGAATATAAATTCCCATTCGATAAAGGTTAAAACTGTAGCAAGGAACATTTTGTACTTCTCTACGACTACGTTAACAGTAATTATAATATAATTCACATTCATTATATTACACATAATATAATGATGTATATCGTATATGTATATGGTATCTACCATTATTTTGAGTTTACTTTATGACGTATAGTAATACTACCTAGACACAAGTACGCACTTAAATAATTTATGCATTTTAACATTACAATTCCAACAAATGGTCTGTATTTTTATATAGGTACTTAATAATGTATATTTATTATGTTTGAACAAAAATATTATAGTTTACATAAGTAATGTTTACGTTTTGAGAATACCTCGTAGAATTACAAAGACTTGAACAATTTTAATCAGAGATTTTCTTTTCATATTCTAGGTACTCAAAATGTCAATATTTTGTACATATGAAATAAAAATTATGTTTATCCATTTAACAAACAAAAGTAATTTCAACTTGTCATGAAAAAATGTTTATTCGAACACGATAAAACTGAAAGTAGCTGCACATTTTATATAATATAATTCCTGCACCAAAACATGGTTTGGCAGCTAACATGTAAGAGGGTAATAAATTATAATTATTATGTTTCCGTAAAGATCACGAAAACAGCTGTATATAATAATTTTAGTTTGTTAAAGTTTAGAGTAATTAAAAAATATTATACTTACGACCACATGCAGACATTTTATTTAAAAAGGTATACAAATATTACAACATGGTTCGTTGGTTAATATTATATATTATAAAATTGTGTGCATTTTCGTCGGTTATAACGCTATAATTAGATCTCACATCATTTATATTTGTTTTTATTTCATTGTTCGAAAGTTTTTTCGTTTGTTCTTAAGTCTTAACACAAACCTCACCTGACGATACCCACTTCAGTCTGAGTAGCTTATCCAAAACGATGTTTTAATCTACTTGTGTAGCAAATATTAATAATATTTCCCCCGTGCACAGTACGGCGAGTTGACCATGTTTGTGTTTAATTAACTAATGGTGTATCGTAACCAGAACGGACAACAAATATATACTCTCTTTGCTTGCCCAGAATTAATAAAAATAACATTAAAATACTCGTATATTATACTTGCTGCCGCATTCTGACCTAATTATAGGTAGGTAAGTAATAGTACCTACCGCAAACAACGTGAGAGTAGATTGCACATTTAAAGACAATTTGTAAACAAGAGACAATGTCACTATTTTTTAATTATTTCTTTTCTGTGTAATGCATACGTATATATTATTATTATCTAAGTTATATTACCACTTTAATTCTGTTTAACTACTAAAAACGTGTTCTACAGCTAAATTATGTAAATTTGATTTATTTTAATCAAAAATAAAGAAAGCTAATACATAAAGAATTAATGTCCTAACGTCTGAGACAATTATATATATATTATGGTAGGTATATATTTTTTTTATAATATTTTAATTATAATGAGTCAATTAAGGAAAAATGAAATGATTTTTCATTACCTATATAAATATAAATGGAGTTGCATATAATTAAACAGGAAATATGATAAATCGCTTTTAACGAAATAAAGCGATAACGGGTGTGATACTGATTCTGTTGCGTTTTTTTAGTGTGTCGAACGACCTGTACATTTTATAAATGATAATGCTTAAATATTCAAGTTATTCAATAATATTAAATTGTTATATATAATTTTTTTAATGGATAGTTGATAAATATTAAACACAAATGAAATAAAATAAAATATAAATAATTACTTTAAAAAAAAAATATATTTTCTGTTACGCTGTGTCTAACATTTAAGCAATAATTGTGTGATGTTATAAAAAAGAATAAATCATCGGATCAAAAACAAAATAGTATTATATAATTTGGATTTAAACGAAAGAATTAATATTATCCAGTTAATCAAGTTAAACTAAGCAAACATGAAAGAACATTAAATTTTATAATATTTTTTACGTCTGTATGGTATATTGTTACTTTGTTTTACTTAGTATTGTGTGTGATATTTTTGGTTCAATTTATACTTGAATAATATGATAATTTTAGAACTTATTCCATAGGCCTTTTTAAATATCATACATTCATACATTTATAATATTTATAATAATAATAAAAAAATAATTTTGTAGAAGACGAATCATACTGTTCAACTTACAAACTATTGAAAATATATAATTTTGTAATATGGGTACATTCTAAAAATAATAATCATATTTTAAAATATTCAAAACAAATTTTACACTAATAATATTCAGTATAAAAAAAGCAATAAACGTAAAATAAATAGGTAACATTACATGAGAGTACTACATTTTTGTGCCATATATTTATGAGCAGATTGTAAAATTAAAATATTTTAATTTAAGAAAAGAAAATGCCCACCTAACAAATATACATTTTTAAATGTTTTATTTAATTATTTTAATATTTTAAGGTTAATTGAATAAATAAATATATAAAATATTATTCTATTCCAGCAAATATCACAATAATATGTGTTTATTATGTTTTATTCTGTCAAAATATACGTATTTTATCTCTAATGAAAATAATTGTTAAATTATTAATTGTTATTACTGGTTTGTTTTGAAAAATAGTCATCATAAAAGTACAACTATGATCGTACAGCTTGAACGATATTAAGTAAATCACTATTGATTAAAATATTTGTTCGCCCTTCAGTTACAGACTTGTGTACTGTTTAAATATTATCATTAGAATCATGTTTACGTTTTTCTGATATCTTAATCAGATTGACTGCTCCGTTTGTATATTAAGTTATCATCTATATCAAATGGTCTTACAATTTGTTCACTAAGTGATATAAGCGTAATGTCTTGTACATAAAAATACTAGACTCTTTTCTATGAACCGATAAAAATAGAGGATACATATTTTGCAGGCAGCTTGTTCGAGCAATGAAGTTATGCTGTACCGTGTTAGTCGTCCAGAAGCGCTGAAACGGTTGTTTGCATCGCCAAAGGACGGACTGACTGCCCATTCGCGTATCATGGAGGCTCGATGGTGCACCGGATATCCCGGCATCGTGTTCGGGTTGGATTCATTATCCAGGTGATCTATCATAGACCCGTTCAGTTATATTTATATAAATATGTTTCGCTTATATTATTTTTGCTTGTGTAATATACCAACTATGAAATTGTCGTTTTCAGGGTACATCTGTGGGACGTTTGCAACGAAACCTCTACACCCATAATGTCCGTACCATTTCGAGGAAAGTCTATTACGGCCATGTCTTTGACGTCATCGCCAAAAAACCGAAACAGCTACTTGGTCAGTGTTCTATTTAATCACTCTTTATGGTTTAACACAATATAATGAAATAGTTGTTATACTATTATTGTATTATAACGCAATATTTTTATATTTAAAAAAAAAATGTTTCTTCCAATTCTGAGGGTTAAGTTTTGATAAAAAAAAATATATATAATGATATTATACTACCGTTAAACAATAGTTATACAATTAAAATATTTATCGCATTGAAGGCCAAGGCGAGATACTTCAGTACACCATTTTTTCAAATAGCTTTGAAACATTTTATCATTTGACGGTAAGGTTAATTTTTCTTCTTGATCCACATAATGAACTCAACATTTGAATGTATAATTTGGAGGGTCAGAATATGCTAATTGTCTCCTAGGGCAGGTGATGGACGTTATAAATTTGCTACCTATTCGAATAACATTAACGCAAGATTGACGTCACAGTTCCGTAATTTCGTTACCCTTTTTTAGATTCTGAGCAGAGCAATGAACGCATTAATTGTGAGTACTACGATGTATGTGTTTTTTTTCAGTGAATGTCACCAACTTTTAGATCTTGGATTTGCTTCAATTTTAAATTCAAGAGTGGTTTCTGCTAGCAAATTGGATGTAATTGGTACTTTAAGGTCCATAAGTAAAAAATGTATGGTAAAAAAGAAATGTTTACCCAAAACCAGGTTTTGACCAAATCAATTTTGTTTTTTTTATTTTAATTGAAATATTAATATCCATCAATTTCAAGTCAAATGTATAAATTTGCCTTTTCATGAAATTATGATTTTCAAAATATGTTGGAGCTTTTTTTTTTATTCATGAACATTTGAAATTTTTAACTTTTGTATTATATTTTTTTCTGATTTACGTATGATAAACATATTTGTAAATAAAAAAGTGCAAAAATATGATAGATAAAATGATTTTCATATGTTGGTCATTCAAAATTCTAAAAACATCAATTGGTAAAATTGTCGTTTACATATATTAATAGGCATTTGATGTTCTAAGGTTGACAAAATTGGATGCACACACATAAAAAAAGATCTTATGTTGTAATTTATTTAAGTATTTATAACATATAAATTGTATTCATATTTTCCAAATATTTAATATTTAGAGTAATTTAAAAATATCTAATCAAACCGCGATCTTAGAAATCCTTCAATAACATCGTTCTATAATGTTTGAAAAAAATATGTTGAATATACGCGGATTATATACATCGCACAGTAACACACCATAGCTGCAAATAATCCTTTTTCATTTATCATTGAATTAAAATATTTCATATCCACTAAAGTGACGAGATAAACTAAAAAAAACTAAACAGAAACTATACAGAAAAGCTAATTTCCCGGTTATTTACATTTTTATTTTGTATATTTCATTTTCAAACGCAATGATAAACCAATTATCAATAGATAATACGCAAGGATGAGTAATTTAAAATGTAATTTGTTTTTAAATATTATCATATAAAACGAATATACATGAAAATGTACAAACACAGAATGTTCAACCATGTTTATGTTATTAACTTTTTGTGTTTTTACTCATACAGTTTATGGTACCTAAAGGCTACTACTTGTAACTCCTCATATACATTTATTGTCTGTCGAGAAAGTCACACCAACTTTTAAATTGTTAAAGTTTATTAATTAATAATTTTGTTCAGAAGTATCTCATTTAAGAAAAAATATATTAGTTATCATATTTTGTAAGAACTCTGTACCTGTGGACATTTGAATAATTATTTAAATTGTCGTTCTTTGATAATAAATTAACACAATTTATTCAGATTAGACTGAGTCGTTGTGAATATTGTAAATACTAAAATGACTGCTCTAATCTATTGAATTATTTTCTAATTATATACGCATCTCAAGTCAATAAATAGTTACGACATTCAATTCTGTTAAAAATGGGATGTTTGATGCTACATTTGCATACTATATATTTTACTGATTTAACTCAAATTCGTAGGTTCATGTTTCAAATACCAGATACTTTAGTTACAATATTCTATAAAAACTATTAAGTTATATATAAATTATAATTTTTTTTAAGATTTTTTTTTTTAATATCGAGATGTAACTATAATTTGAACAAATTGTGAATATTTTTTAAATATTTTGTTGTCATTTATTTTCGGGCAAACAGAATACCAAACAGTGTAATATTTAAATCATAATCATCTCAAAACTATCGAATTTACGATAGTTAGTATCACTGAAATTTTAATATTGAAGTGTTGATTGGTTTCGGTTGACAGGGATTGGCGTTCGCTGACGGTGCAGTAGAATTGCATCTGTTGAAGTTGGAACAGAGGAACGAGACAACCGATCGTAGCGACCAGCTCACTATATTTCTGGCCGGTCTATAGAAGTCAACTGTTGCAAGCTACTAACATAATATAGAAATAATGTGCCAACAACAGTGATTTTAATTTTATAATATATAATATATTTTTCTAGCTTTGATAACGTGTAATATAATAAAAAATAATATCGATTACTCGTGCGGTACACAGTACTCTACGGAACAAAAATACCGTCTTACATACATGTATGTACAACTACGTAATATTATTTTTATTTTTATTTGCCATGTGCATAACTATAAACTTTTATAACTGTATATACTATTGGTGTGTAAAAGGTAAAAAAAAATATATAATAATATAGTATTATAATAACAAATAATAAATCAAACATAATATTATAATATGTCATTACTCATTTATCATAGAAATTCCCATACATTCTTATTAGCTTCATAGCAATATAATTTAATACGATTCTAGTTGTCGATCAGTCTACTTAAAGATTTTTGAGGAAAAAAATACTGAATTTCATTCCCTGTTTTTTTTTTCTGCCATATCTTTCACAGTCCATTCAGTTATTTTTGCTCCCCGTTCGCGTTCTTGTAGTTTTCGTCAATCAATTTGCTCCATTGTTGCATATTATTCATCGCCCCTTCCTTCATAACGTTTAATTTTGGATTCATTTGACCCAATGCCTGTAAAAAAAAAAAAATGAATTCATAAAACATTCTTAGTTTTTACGTCTAAAAAAATCGTTGACCTGGTACAAAGGCAGACATATATCTGCGATCCATCTGATCTGCAACTGTGGAAGTTCGTGTTGCCTCTCTCTGTCCATGAGAGCTTGTGGCTGGATTTTTAACTCAAATCTTTCCTTATCGCCTTGCTCGATGAATTCATCTGTCACCAGTCTGGCGGCTCGTTTCTGCACGTGCCATTGCTTTGTGGACGCTGCCAAGTCAGACGACGTCATCAACATTGCCATCAGCAAGTATCGTTGCGAGTCTTCGTCCCAACTATATTCTTTAGATTCGATTAGACGGAAGAACTTGTTTCTCAGTCTAACAAAATAAAATCAAACCTAAAATGAGGAGCGATACCAAAACAAATCTAAACATATGAATATGATTTAAAAAAATAATAAATCAGACTTCACTAAAGCATCGGACAATTTTATTATTCCAATACCTAAATTAAAAGTTATATTATATTATGAAAAATACTAAGAAATATTATAACTATGTAACGTAACAAAGTTTTATATTTACCACAATAATACCCATTTAAATGTGTTTGTACACCTATCAGTAATAGGGTATGTTAAAACTTGAGTATTATTTTTCGAAAAAACACTATTCAAAATATAAAAAAACAGTTTTTATGATAATTTTAATAATTTTTGGTATCTATATAATATTGATATTATAGAGTTGACAATTTTTTGATTTATGAACGAACCGATACATACAAATGTAGGTATACGAGACAAAGGCTATAAAAACAAAAATATCATCATATCAATAACAGTAAGTCATTTTAGTAAACATAAGATACTAAACTAATTGAAACTTCGAAATGTATAACTTTTTTGTAAATATTTGACTCATGTATAATACTATAATATTTTTTTTCTTTTAAGGTTTCAACTGCATGGTTATTAGCTAATTTTTACAATTACACTTGTATTATATGGGGCAAGGATTTGTCACAAAAAACCTGGGTGGTCACTCATCCTGGAGCTAGTGACGCCGGCCGATGCTTGACCTCAGAACAAGTTAGTGACTGCGGCCAGCCATCGTGCCAAACCATGCCCACTATAATATTTATTGTGATTAAATTATTTTCACAGCAGTATGAAAATAGTTTGTATAATAATTTGAATTTATTATATTGGCGGTTAAAACATGTTCATATTTACTCACTGGAAGTACATGCAAAGATCAGTGGCCAGTATACTATGTTTTAATACTTTCATCACAGTTGAAAAACTCTCCGCGGATAGACTCGAGAATATATTGAGATTCTAAAGAAAAAATATAAAATGCATAAAAATTCTGTACTCGAACAATTTACTCGATACATATTAATTTGTATTCGACTTACTTCACTACTGAGTATCATCACTGCGTGATTGAAATGATGGTGTTCCATTGTATTTGTAGTGCCGTACAATAAGACTAATGCTGATCTGGCTCTAAAACACAATTATAATAAATTAAAACTGAGTGTCGATTGTAATTTTGTAATGCAATTTTTAAGTCGTTTAATTGTTCGTAGTAAAACAAAGAGTAAGACAGTAAGTTAGAATCAAATTTAAAACTTAAGCGAACTTGTACTATAAATCTGTTGTTTCAAAGTTTAATGACCTCGCTAAGAAAATACTGTAGAAAATATTCACATTTTATAGACATTCAATCGTGTGCAATATCTATGACTTATACTTTTGAATATAATATTTATTACTCATCTTGATCTCAAAAATAAATAAATAAACATTTGTATAGTTTTAAATACGAATGTTATTTTAATTTTATTAAAATTAACCACTGGATTAAACGTACTTTTCTTGGAATGAATTATTTGTTCCTCGGTGATCGAGATCGTGACACAAACATCCGACAAACATTCCCAGAACTTCAAGATCGGAGAACGTATTTTTCATGTCACATCCCTTCAAACATATACGAGTATAATATATTTTACTTTACACTCTGGTTAAATTATGTCTATCTTTGTCTTTATATATTTACCATCATAATAGCGAACATGACTTGAGCAACATTGAAAGCGTGTCTCCAGTTGTGATAAGGCACGTCCCTGTAGTTGCGTTTCACCGTGATAAGGAACCGATATAATGTCTGAAATATAAATAGCATATCGGTATTATTGGACAAATTTAATTGCTTTATTATTATTCATGATTTCAACAGAAAATGTAATTGAATATCAATATAATAAAAACGATAATTATCTGAAAACAAATCATTTCTTTTATAACATAAATTCGATTTAATAGTACTTTATAATTATATAACGAGAATCGAAAAATCAAAAATCAATTATGATGAACAATTTTATTTTGAAAATGTTGTTCTAAAACTAAATCTTAAAAAATAGTCCATAGAAGTAAAAATTATACATTTTTAATAATATAACATAATACATCTTACATTTTAATGTCAGATAAATACTTTATGTTTAATATGAACATGAGGTAATAATATGTTCTACATTAATCCATTACGATAAACACTTGATTATAATTTATAGTGCTTATGACTGCGAAATAAAATGTTTCTGAACAAAAATAGATGGCTAAATCAAGTGTTGTGAAGTTGATAAATTATTTTAAACAGTACCTAAGTACTTTTCATTTGTTTGTACCTGGAATTTAAGGTGTCTGTATGTACAGTACTATATTATCTCATATCATGATGAACACCGTTTTAAAGAATAAAAATAAGTATAAAGCATCTTTCCACTGTAATAAAACATATAATGTTTTTCTTGCACTACAAAATAACTATAGGGATACATTACAATTGAGTCGTGTATAATTAATGTATACCTACCTTAAACAAACATAATATAAATACATAATTATAAGTTTATACAGGTAGTCAATGTGAGTAGGTACTCAATGCATATTTAACTAAAAACATTGTATTGCTCTGTTTATTGTCGTCAGTGATAAGTAACTAGTAAGCATTGTTACACTGAACAATAAAATGTACCTTACTTTGGACCGTTATAATATATAAATAATAAATTAAGCCAAACAAGTAATTTTTCCTTAGGTTTGTTATCTTTATTCCCCTCAAGTATTTCCAAGTACTTTTCCAGACCAATTTGTTCAATGCTCATTATTCACATCTTATAAAGACATATTTCATATTTCATTTCCTCTTATTTTCTTGCCATTAACTTACTTTCTACAGCCGCAGGCCGTTATTTGTACATCAAATATTTGAAAGCCTATAAAAATCTTAGCTAGATATTTATTCTAACTTCGAAAAATGTAAAGAGCGATGTCTCCATTTCTGCTTGAATACTGTCCAGAAAAAACAATTTTAATATTTATTTAAGTTGGTAATGTAAAATTTACTAATTTAAGTTTTTAAAACATAGTATAACTAGTTTTTTTTTTTAAATTGAATATACATAAAAAAATTTACCATTGAAACAAACAACTTATCGGTAAACACATTGATATTAAATTTAGATGGAGTTTTTTCATTTAAACAAGTTTGTTTAGGTAGTAATTTACACAATAAAGTGTTATTTATATCACTGATACTCGTTTAGCTATCACAATAAAATTCATAATATCATAACATTTTTGTTATTTGGAAACATTCCATTAGAAAACTTTTTCTCCGATAAATATTATTGTGTTGTATATCATATACAACATACCTATGCATAAAACGTTTTGTTTATGAATTAATTACAAACAATAGATAAATTGAACAGTAATGTAAAAATATTCTAAAAAACCCACTATTGCAGTTGACTGCACTTGGTCAGATATAAAATATTTCTTATATACTCCAAGTAGTAATTTACGTACACAATCCATATTATATGGATTGTCGAACACATATGTTTTACTCGTCATGCACTCACTTCTTTTTCAATGTTGAACGTCTTAACGAGTCCGAGTTCCAAAAACATGCTCACGGCGGCCATCAGCATTTCGTCATCGTTAAGTGAAAAATCGTCGAACGCAAGAGAATACAAATTCAACGAATCAGCAGCAGGTACCGGCATGCCCTAAGAAAATATTACATTTATTTCCTGTATGATTGCAGTTTTTCGTTACTATATTTAATATTGACAGCGCGATTTATTTTCATTTTGTTATTGCCGATGTTTATTTGAAAACAGACGATTTGACACTGGGTCTTATGTGAAATAGTGTAAAGATATATTTTCCCCCTTTACAAGTTGTCAGCGTCAGTATATAGGTACACACCACACGCGACGAGACAAAGCTAGAATAATAACAAAATACACTTTTCAATCCGTTCAAATTTGCGGGGGCATTAAACTATGGAAAAAAACGGTCTAGAGTTCAATGACTGGCGAGTAAAAGTTTTTTCATTATTTTCACAGTACACGAATATATAGAATGTTTATTCGGGGATGTTAGTGTCTATTTGAAATCGAAGCCAAAAAAGTTTTAAAAGCATAGGAATATTAAAAAATAAATTTACAAGATTATAGAGCTTACCAGGATACGTTCCACGTCTTTGTTAGAAGCTGTCGCGTGATAAGATAGAACCTAAGACAAACAAATAAAAGAAATATAACGAACATTTGTATAACTTTCTTATGGCGTATAATATATTCGTTTTCACACGCCCGTGTGCTGATCTTACTTCAATGGAGACTTTTTGTCTGGCCATCGCCTTTTCTACTTCACTATACATTAGTGTGTTATGTATTCCCAGTCCACAGAATATTGTAAAAGCCTATAACAAGTGAAACGTGGTTGTATAAATATTTATAAGTTAACCGCATACTAAATCTTCGACATCACGTGTTTTTCTTATATAGTACAATATCTCACCTCGAACAACTGTTCGTCGTAATCGTCGAATGGCGACGAATTCAATTTGTTGATTATACTGGCGACACCTGTTAAATATGAAATTGCTTTAGTGAAACGAAATTGTATTCCTCAATAAATGTAATAATGCATGTAAAAAACCAACAGAATAATATTTTTGTTCGAATGTGCTCACGTCGACCCACTCTCTTTAACTGAAGTGTATCCATTGAGAACACTTTGATTCGGGTCTGATCATCCGAAAAATCGATAGCAATATAGATTTTGTTAAATACTTTATATGGATACCATTTGGAAATTGAATATAATGTGACAATATAGTTATGGTCCGAGACAATAATAGTATGACAATATTATAATAATGATAATAATATACTACCACACTATTTTCGAATGTAAATTCCGCTCTGGTTCTGGACGGACAGCAGCCGTTTACAATACAGATGTGAGATGCTCGGACTACGTGATATCATTACACATTCGTCTATTGTAGTAGCATAGTATTTGTCGAATACGCATATCTTGTATTCTTATATGGTTACGTGGTAGGGAGAAACAATTTAGAACAAGACATTATCATCACGGGGTATTGCAAGTTCTCGGACTACTGTGGGCTGACGAAAGGTATGTGCGGACTAGACGATCACCAAAGGTGCTAACAACAATTATATACCAGACAGACAATAATACGTTTTTGATATTTTTTAAATTATTATCAATTTTAAAAACCAAAGATAAATTTTTACTCATAATGGTATTAATTTAAAATACTTAGATGACAGTATATATTATTATAGTAATAAATTTAACTAAATTGTTTGTTTAACGAAAGTTCATTCAAACCGAAATACAATATGACTTCATGATAGGGTACCTAAATCGTATGTATATTTATATGTATAGTTTATTGTCTCGTCTCTCCGCGCTAATTATTCGAAAAAATGATTATTTAAAACTGAGTATATGATAAATAATATTAAAGAGTACGTTTGTGATATGACTTGAACTACGCTTACCGATTATTTGGTCATTTTTATTCCTGATGGGCATTGCCAATAGTGAGTTGATGCCTGAATCTACTATGCCCTCGCTGCACTCGTGCTCATTGATGTTCAGCACCTCTCCTGAACAAGCCACCCTCTCAGCAAGGCTTTCTAGGTATCGAGATACGTTCTCGCCTTCCACTTTTTGCCTAGAACTTTTTCATAAACATGGAGTGTTATAGGTAAATATTTGAGACAATTTCTATATATTATATGTGTTGAATATTTATAAATGTGTAAAAGGTGCATCTAAGAGACTTAGCACATATTAATAAATAATTGTTGTTGAAGAGAGAAGAACTTTAAGTGAAATAATCCTGCAGATCCTGAATAAATATGTGTAATAAATATGAACAAGGTGTCCCAAAACATTAATGTATCTACGTGAAAAACTAATAGGTACATTTAAATGTAGGTTTTTCAGTATTTTTGATTCTAGTGGAAAGATTAGTTTTTAAATTATATGTTGGTTTTCACTTATTTTTTTTTTTGTCATCACTTTTTGAAGCAATAATAAAACTTGGATTTTCAATTTTGGGGGTGGTTTTTGGTAGAAAATTGTAACTGGTCTACTGTAGGTAATACAAATATTTGAGAAAAACATGTTTTCGGTCATATAAATTATATTTTTGTTATTCAACAATTCATAAATTTTAGTCTGCAGAGACAAGTTGTTATACCCCAGTTAAAAATATGTATGTATAAGTAACATTTTTTTTATAAGCATTTGAAAAATAGTACAACCTACCATCAAAATAAAAAATTATTGAAAAGTATTATTTTTTTTTGGAATTATGGTAGCCAATAATATTACTGGTTTTCAAAAATTAACTAATTTTAAATTAGACTAAACGCTCCACTAATACGTTATACTATTTTTAAGAATAATCATATAACAATTCACTGCAATAAAAATTGATTCAAAATATTCAATCATTATTTTTCAATATATTTTCAGTATACTAGCCATTTATCTCAAAAATACAAAAAAATAACATATTTTAATTCAGCCAATATTTAGGTTTTTAGTCGAACCAAATAATATTTTTAATAAACAGTTATTTGACAATGTCTAAAATTCAATAATATTAAATTGCATTATACAAATAATATATATTATATTCTATAAAGCGTGAAATCTTACTTTTTAACGTTATTTTTTATATTGTGCTTGGGTGAGTTCAAATCGAACAGCTTCGAAAATCTGGTACTGTCGCAAGACTCGTCTACCAGCAACACGGCCGCCCTTTCGCACTTCAACAACCTCTGAGCCCTTTGCATTATCTTCATGATCACTTTGTCGATGGACGTTTGTTCTTCAAATAGATCGTGCACCACTTCCAACAAGTTCTGCAACGACACCGGTTAGATTTTTTTCAAACTTACATATAAGTTTAACTTTCTCCGCGAGCTTCAATGACTTACCCTGTTTCGATCGTATTCGGCTCGGGAGTCCTCGACGATTTGTGCGTTTGTAATAGCTATACCGACAAACTGTAAGTACGTCTCGAAAAGCTATAATCCCAGAAAGTTTGATTAAATTATATCGTTTTGAAATAATACTACTCAACAGTACTGTATAGATTAGTTCTATGACTTTGGTAAACTAGGAACAATGGGATTATTTAGATCCTAGATTACAAATCGGTTTCAACAGCATGTTTCCATTGTTTGTTTTGGAGACTAATTATGTCTCAGTCAAGCAAATACTAACGCAATCTAATTTTTAACATCTATATCTCTAAAGTTATTAAAAAATCATTACATTTTATGATAGGTATCATATCACGATTACGTTTTGGATTGAAAATGTTTATCTAATGAAATCTTATGTTTTTAAAATATTCTTTTAAACTTTTCGAAGAAGACGTTTTACTTCATGCTCACAATTGATACCTAATGAATGATTAATTAACACGATTTATGGACCCATTCAAAATCTAACGAAAACTTTCTTTCACAGAAAACATCATACTATTTCGCAGCAAAGTTCTTGGCGTAAAACTGTATGGAATTGGAATAGTTTGAACTTGCTTACAGTCTAACTTCAAAAGCTGAACAACTTCCGATCAATATGTTATATGTATATCTAACATATAATTATACATTTATACAGACAGAACTGTATTAGTCCGTAAAATTATGTACACAATATTCGCATATGAATTTGAATCGTGTTTGGGATCTTAGTCTATCACATTATTATAATGTAGAAATGTTTATGTAAGGTTACAAAAATCAATATCTAAAAATTAAATATGTCTCAAATACTATTTAACATAATTAGCTTAGACTCATATTAATGTATATACAAGTAGCGAATCTTGTGATTAAGCCATGTCAATTTCAAGGAGCGACGTAGTTAACGAAAAATAATTATTAAGTAGTATGATAATCACGTCATCTGGAGTCTTAGATTATTTATTATTTGCCAATACATCGTCGTAGGTCACGTTCTTATCGTTGTAATATATCGACAACAAAAACAACGTTAGTATAATAATGTTACTATAACCGTCTCCGATCAGAAACCAGCAGTGGCAGTGTCATCAATTCGCTGATGGAATATTAACGAAGTAAGTACGCGTGCACACACGCGCACACATACCTACATATACACATGTACCTAGGTAATGTATATTAGGATTTGCAGATTTAAGTAAAATAATTCATAACTACAGCAGCAGAAAATGTTGCTCGCGAAGTTTTTAATGTGTAGGCATACACGAGAAATGCCTGACAGCTGCACCACTGCACTTATGCAGAACAGCTAGTGCTCGTCTCTCGAAGTAACTGCGAGTCAAAACCATCCGCAAAAGTTTCCACCGCGATTGTAAAATATTTACTTTTTCATCCATGCTGGTGAAATGGCCTCCGTCCTTGTCCGGGTTCTTGTTGTTGACTTGCGCCACCGCTATTATCTCTTCGTACGAATTTTTCACCGGCATGCACAGCAACGACGAAGTGTAGTATCCCATTATGCGGTCCACCTCGTCGTCAAATCTCGGGTCCTGCAATTCAATATTTTATGAGGACATCAGTTTATATTATGTTATGCAGTGCTCGAATTGGGAAAAATTAAAATAGGGGGACGCTGTTTAATTTAAAAAAAGAGCGTCCCCATCACTTGTTAAACGCTATTGAGCCGTAAGGGTCATCCCCCACACCCTCTAATGCCCCTATTTAAATCATATCAAAAATATTTATAAATAATTAATTTAAAAATAAGATAAAAATGAAGAATATTATATTACATTATTTATAAATAATATCAAACTCAAAATGATAATAAATGTAAATTAATTAATAGTTTAGTAATAACTAGTTAATAGTAACTAAATTGTAGATCCACAGTTATGAAATGCATAGGTAAGACAAATTATGATGGTATCTCTGTCATTTTGACAAATGCATTCCATGTTTTCTCCTTAAAAATAATATTAGGGGTACTCTAAAATATCTGAAAAACAAGTTGGGGTACTCCGTTCCCTTGCGCCCACCCCTAAGTCGAGCACTGATGTTATGATTTAGGAATTTCGCCTAAGGACAAAAAATTCTGGGAATTGAAAAGACATTTTCCGACGTTGCATATTACAATAAGTATTTCAACACTGCCACCTATCATAACATATTATTCCACTGTTGGGATTTTCAGTTTTCAGAAAATGTTAAAATCACACGACTCGAAATATTATACTTAATGTTTTATAATATGATTTGCTAAAGCACAAAATAAGGAAAAATCTGAAATAAGATAGTCTCAGTGACGGCAAAATAAATGAACTGATATTAAAATTAATCGCATGTACATATTATTTCTTTTAAATGAAAAAAGTTAAAAAATTATTAATTTTATTTTTGGACAAACATATTTAAAAGTCTTGCATTCGTTTAAAATGAATACAATTTACATATTTTACATTTCGTTCCATTGAAAATTGTATTCCGAGTTTAAGATACGCGTTTGCATAATATACTGATTCAGATAATATTACAATAAATAATATGCTATAGGTACTGTAAACGATTAGTTTTCAAACTATTAGAAAATCAAATTCAAAATGATGAAATTATTTTGTACGATTACGACTATCATTAATATTTTTATAGAACCCAAAAAATTGAAAAACATAATTTCTAATACTAATTATATTCATGAAACAAATACCTTATTTATTTACTAATATTTTTATTTCATTGAATTGGTGAACTTCTTTTAAAAACAAATGGGCCAGTTACGATTAATTTTTCTTAATATTAATTTCGAGTGCATTTATCATAATAAAATCGATTTCCATCATGCGGTGGAACAATGTGGTTAATATTGTATTTACTAAGTAGGTACTTATTGGCATTATGAATAATCTCCAACTGACAATAATAATACTATAATAGCAATAATGTTTATTGTAATACAATTCAAATAGCGCTTACTAACCAAATTTTCGAGCTTATATTAATTAAACGATATTAATGTTCGTATGACCTTCCTCGCTGTGCCAACGGTTGTGAAATCGAATCCGTACTAATAATATTAATTTCTAACAATCTAGATATTATTTTTAACTCTGGTTATTATAAGCCATAATCAAATAAAAAGAAATTAAAAAGAAAAAAACAATATTTTAAATTGGTTTTTGTTAATTATACAATTTGCTATGCCAATAACTGTCTCTACATGAATTTTCACTCGGAAACTTATCGGAAATCAAACCACAATACCACCTTGATGGTGGGACTTCTGGGACATAGGTATACCTTTATATATCTACGGAAATTCAAATTCCCCAACCGGGAGAATAGGTTCACGTGTATCCGTCACGTGGACGCCTCCCACCATCACTATACATATTATGCGATCGTACAGATGACACAATAATCGGGGGTGGTGTCGGTTGAGAGGGGGGGTTGTCGAAGATGATCCACTACGTATATATACAACTGGAATTTCATTAGCCCACGTCGACCATGTTAGGTCATATATATAATATTATATATATATATACACAGTTGGAGGGTGGCGTGGATGACCCAGTTTATTTTTCAAACGCACACAGACGAAATACGAAACGTATCAATAAACGTCAATTGTACGGCCTCCAGCAGTATGTTATAGCTGTGTAGTAAATTTCTACAAATGTCTGAGAGAGATGCAGTAAAAATAAAAAATAATAAAAAATAATAAATAATAACGCCGGTAATAATAATATACGAATAACGCGCTTAAAAAGGCCAAAAATCTTTCTGAGCACTCGGAATATTGTATTAATATATACCACCAATATAATAATATACGCTGTGCACCCAACCGATTTTTATTACATGATACTATATAAATAATATCTGGACGCTTTACGATACGCTGGGCACTAGTCCGAAACGCAGTGTATATATATATATATATATATATACATAATATGCGTTATATAGGGTGAATATCCGTGTTTGTCCTCGTAAACAGCTTCAACCCGACTCCTTTCTAAACTTTAACGCGATCATACAAACTATTTAAATACTGAATGAAAATAAAGTAACATTCAACTTTTAAAATATTAACATAAATTAAATATTAAAAATTAAATAGATAAAAAAAGAGAATTGGGGACAAACGCGGCGATGAAACATTAGGTAGGTGTAGTTTTTCAGACAAACGCGTGAAGCAAAAGAAAAATAAACATTAAATAAAGCCAATAACGTCGTTAACCATGGACCCAATAGTTCTCTTAGTCGTTACACGGTATCAAATACGACGGAGATTCTCTTAAAAATTTCTTGGTCGTATGCGTACCAAGTCATTTTTACGATACCATTACTGGTAAATCAATTCACCGTCACAGTCCACATGAATGAAAAAAGTCTAGTTGAATTTCATTACAACATAACCGTCTATGTTGATGATATTTTTCTCTTGGTAATGACGTTTACATTTTTTTAACAGCGATAATATTGATGAACTAATGAAAAAAGAGTGACCAAAAACATTCCTTACATGCGGATATCCAACTTCAATCAAACATATCATCACCGAATATAAATTGTAGACACGAAAGAGACCCGACTAAAACCCGATATACTGGAACACCTTCACAACGCACTGGGCCCCGACGAAGAATCCATCAAAAATATAATTGTATTTATAAAAGACATTGAATTGTACAATTTAATTTAAATTATTTAAGACTATTTTAAGAAAAACAAACCAATGGTCACGTTATGGAGGCTTAATATATATATATATGTGACCATCATATAATTACAATGCAGCAATTTACATTCAATATAATTAATTTTTGAGACAATACTATTAAATGTATATAATAAAAAAAACTATACATTTATAAAAGAAACAATAAATATAATTTTAGTTGTTTGCATAAATTAGTTATACATTTTCCGAAGATTGATCGTTATTTGTTTTAGAACAACATTAAAATTGTAATGGATACTAAAAAATAAGTAAAATCGTATATTAATTGTTTTTCTTGACTGTTGTAGAATCTTTTTACGTTTTACAATTCTACATTAAATACAATTATCTTTTGTAATTTATTAACAATTAAAAATAAATTAAACTATCCTATTCCAAGTTGCACTTATTTAAATCATCAACTATATTTCTTGGTATACTCTTTATAGTAATATTTAGTTCTACAAAATAAAAATATAAATCGTTTTTATTAATTGAATTGTTTTGCCAGATTGAAAATGCATGTAATATTTTCATATTTCTTAAAAGCTCCTTGGTAAATAAATATTATATTAATTTATTTTCATTTGCTTTATCTTTTGCTATTCAGAAATATTATAGAAATAAAAGCCGCTGAGAAATAAACTGCATTTTCAGTACAAATCAAACCTACCCTAAACAATTTGTTTTTTAATGGAAGACCTTGAGAAAACAATATATTATGTTGCACTAAAAAAATGTGGAGACAGTAAAATGTGCCAAAATTACAAAATGTCCAAAGTTAAGAATAACATTAAATATGTTTGCTGGATTATCTTCAATTATAATGGAAATCAACTCAGGTGAAAAAAAGTAGTATCTTTTTTGTAACACTCATATAAATCTTCGCTTATTAATCATTATAAGTATGGACTAATACATTTTTAGTATCCTTCAAAGTTGACCAAATTACAATTTAAAATTTGACCCACGGACCCATTTACGATAGTTTTATTATTATTAAGTGTTAGTAGTAGACTAGTATAATACTAAGTTCCTAATTTTTTTAGTTTTAACTAACTATTAAAGTTTCGCTCAAGTTATTCAAACATACGACACTACACACACAATATCTCTATTCATGAGTATAAGACGTTACATAAATTACTAACTATTGTTTGTGTAGTCGCTCGTTAATGATACATGTTTTATTATATTTGTCACATTAAAAATTTACACAACTCTGTATTTTTATTGTATATAAAGAATGTAAACATTCAATTCATACATTTCTCAAAAGAGTGTCCATTATTTTTCTTGCATGACTTTAATCGCTGAGGAACCTGTAAGTTTGCACTTTTAAAACTGAGAATAAAGTACGAATCTTAATTACATTTTAGAGATTTATATTTCTTATTTTGAATAACATACCATTCATTTAATTTTTCTATAAAATAACTTCCATTCATGCAGAGAAACCGGTATTATTTTGAATATCTATTTGCTATAGATATGTATTATCATTTAAATACACATATCAGTATTGCATGTCAAATTAACAAAAAATATTATATAATTATTCTTTATGGAATCTAAGTTTTTTTAAATGTTAAAATAAAATACGACAATTTGTATAGTTAATTAACACGTGTAACTTATATACTATCAAATTATTGCTGATTAAGCTCTTTACAATCCTTTATATTTAAATGATCAACTAAGTTTAAGTTAATAATTTCACATTTTATTTAAGGTACCTAGTAAATAAACATAGATATCGATTTTGAAAATATTAAAATTAGGACTAAATATTACCAATTCGGTATTTTTAACATTTTTAATTTAAGTGATAATATTTTATAAGTGGTCAATTCAATATCGATTTTTGCATTAACGTAATAGAATTATTAAAATATATTAGCTCAAGAAAAAAACAGTTACTTATTTTAACACATTTTCCTGTATGATATGTATATAATTAAATCGAGCAATTATAAAATAGTATCACTTTAATAAGAATATATCGGCAGGCACCCAATACGTATATTATTATTATTCTTTTTGTTTGTTGTTATTATTTTGAAACTAACCGTTCAAGTTGAACGATTAAACATCTATGGGTAATGATTTGTCGTACAACCATAATCCGATAATAAAAAAGGATAATTTTTTTGGGTCATTCGCGAGTGATTATATTATATAGTTAAACCGATGGCCGACTTACCTCACAGGCGACGTCCAGGTTGACCGTCTCGCCGGTGGACGCGACGTGGCCGAGTATGCCCACGCCCCACGGGATGCGCACCTCGTTGTCGGTGGTGGTGGCCGGTCCGCCGGCCACCTCGCACTGGACGCCGTCCGGCAACAGGAATTGGCCGCGGGCGCCGCTGTGCACGTCGAACACCTTGGACACGAGACACCGGCGCCGGGAGCCCCGCGGCGGCCCGTCCACGAGGAACAGCGAACCGGCGTCGCAGTCCAGCAACACGGCCAGATCGTCGACGATCTTTTGCGACAGTGACTTGAGATCCAGATCGGTGGCGATGTCCCGGACCACCGTCAGGAAGAAGTCCCGTTCGCCCTGTGCGTGCCGCAGATCCCGCTTGGTGTCCACATTGTGCGCGGACACCGGCCACCTGGGGAGTCGCACCTTGGAATCGATGAGCAGCGACAGCATGCTGATCGGGCTCGGCGGCAACGACGTGAACCTGACCAAAACAATTGTATTTTTACTGCGGCGTGTTAGAGCTAAGAAATTCATTGTTTTATTATTTTTTCTAATGTAAATTAAATTGATTAAATTGTTATTTCTCGAAATCGTGCAAAACTCTTTGTGATATATCACTACACGGACCGGGTTATCATAGTTCACGAAAAGAATAATAATTGCCCTAAACAAATATGCCTTAAAATTGTGATGGCTACTGGACACTGGTGTATAATCTTTGCGAGGACGATTAATTTTAATCTTAGTTTAAGCATAGAAAGTCCCATTACAATTTCAAACGGTGACAATTGGACAATCAGAAAAATAAATTTGGAAGACATTACTTTTATTATTTTTTTTTTTTATATAACCTTATGCGTTTGTTGATTACAATAATATATATTGTGGAAAATTACACTGTTTTTTCTTTTGCTCAACGATAGTTTACTTAAATTTTAAAGTCAATAACTTATGTACTATTATTGTGTCTAGGAATTATATGTGTGAACTATCTCCAATTATTAACGGAAAATCTTGACTTTATATCTCATTAAAAACGTCTAGTCACTGTAATTGAAAAAAAAAACTACTTACGAGTTTATACACCATTTAGAAAAAACATATAACTCTTTAGATTCTACATTTTATGAACATCAATAAATTTACTGACGTATATCAAAATCACTTTATTTAACAAGCACAATAATTATTAATAATAGCAATATACGATATTATAATAAAAATAATATTATATTATAATAAAACGAAGTGTGTGGTTACGAAATTGTGAGATCAAAAGGTATAATACCCTGGTGATTAAAGATTTGGCTATTTCTATAATAATGAAAATGTATTTTTAAATAAATTATGAATTAACTTATTTTGTTTAGTAAAGACGTATAGTGTAATTATATTTTTATAAGATTAATTGTAAGAGTAATAATATTTGTATAAAATACTAATTATGTATTTGATTAAATATAACTTTACTCAATTTTAATTGAACTTAAAAATTATTATTTTCTTTTATAAAAAAAATCTCAATTATATAATAATGAGTTGTAAACTTTTTTCCAGATTTGTTATGGAATAATATCCTAACATACAACTTTTTAATGAGTTATGTGAATCGTGAATTTATAATTGTACAACTATATAATATATGAACATATTGAGCTGTTTAATTAAAACATTTTAATAATTTTCATTTTTTTGTGTCTCCTATAATTCAGATTTTAATATTTTAAAATATGCCTTGTAAACTTTTTATCATGTCAAGATAAATTTAACACGTAATTTAGTTTTGATTAAAATTGAATTTGATGCATTTTAAACTTCTTTTACTTGAATCTAATATTTTATGTACTAGTTAAATTTGACATATATTTATTCAAAAAACTTTGAAAAAATAAAATGACTATGAAGGTTGTTTATTTTATAGAAACATATTTAGGTTATAAGCTATTCACCATGTAAATTTATCTAACAATGGAATAATAATATCATAGAAAAAAAACCCGCAAAATTAATGAAAATATTTTTTCGACGAGCTTAACAGCTGACGGAATACTATTACTAACGATAAATAATTTTGCTGTTTACTAATAACTTAATAATATAATGACAAATATTGATAACTGTAATCTACTAGTGGAGTTAGAAGGGTTTGATTGAGACTTTCTAGTCTTCCAATATGATGTCACTATTCATTAACTTTGCTTTTTGTGTATTGCACAAGCAAAATTCATACGGAACATGAAAATAAATGAATTGTAGACTTTTAAACCCGTTACTCACTGTATGAAAATATGAATGCATATCGCTTTACTCTCTACTCTGTTATATTATTGTACAACGATTAACGAAACAATCGAAACGAAGTTTTCCAGCTACTGCAAACACAGATACAAAAATAAAGATTGAAAAGCGTTCTTACTCTTTCTCTCTCTCTCTTTCTCTCTCAAAATATATTTATATACGATTTACACGTTGTATATGTGGCATTATGTTTTGTCGCGTTATTGTTGTTTACTCTCTTAGCGATATTATAACGACATGCAGTGCTTATTGTCTAGTGTTATTAGGACGTATATTCGTTATAGTGACGTAAGTAAATAATAGAATTAAAACCAATAACAATACGCAAACGGCAAAATCATCTAAAACAATGATGACCAAGAGTATTTCTACATAAATTTATTTGTCTCATAAAAATGATATAGGTTCGTCCTACGTTAATTAATCTTTTCAGAGCTTTTCACATGAAATAGGTAGTATTTATGATGAGAAATGTTATTCTGCTATCATACGTTTAGGTCTTCGTCGCCATTCAACTCGTCAGCTTTTCACCCTTCTTAGCAAAGCACGAGTCTGGGTTTTTGGTAGATGCTGATTAATGAATCCATTTATTTATTTATTTTCAAGGTGTTATGAAACCTACATGACACCTAAGACTTTACGGCGTAAAGCATTGTTTAAAAATGAATTATAGCTTCAAGTTATGTGCAGCTTAAAGTGGTCTAGTGTAGGTATTAGACAAAGTGAAGGTAGAATATCAGTTATAAAAATTAAAAGACACATTTCACATTTGAAATAAAAGGAATCACTGTTGGTTAATATATTATCATAATAATTAGTATTATTAAGGTTGATAAATTGACAATATTATGGGATTGTAACAGGCAGATATTAAGCCTAAGATATTCTTAATGAGGAATGGTGAGCAAGATTGCCATATAAGCTTTTGATATTTAAAACTTCCCAAGTTATAGTTATAATTTTCTATTATATTCTGACCCCAGTTAAAATATTATAGTTATACCATAAGATAAACCTTTAGTCCTCGAAGGAAATTTTTTCCCTACAAGTCTAGAAAAAATATACAACCTACTGGTATTATATGCAGGATATTTTTATCCTGGAGTTCAGACGATTGTATCCTGGAAAATTATTGGTTCCCTTGTCCATCATTAAAACTATCCTTTGTAAGATTTAACTGTGACATCAGTCTCAGTTTTCGATTTGCTTCTGAAGATTATTATGTTATAAAATATGTTTTAATGTTTGCCAGCGAATTATATATTGTTATTTTATTAGTTCGATAATACGTAATATAGTAGGATATTATCAAGTCATGTTTCAATATTATACCTACCTATTATATACGAATCAAAAAACTAAACGTAAGCACAAATACGATAATGTTTTTTAGTACACATATTAAATTATAATTTGATAGATTAACCACTCGCATATTAAAAACGATAATACGTCTAGCGACTGAGTTCTTAGCGTAAAAAAACGACGGTTTATTTGATATTCTTCTCGCGTCCCGGTATTTCACCGACATTCTTTACCCCCGAGACCTCTACGATATGATAATAGTATTATATATTATTTACATGTATGTATAAACATATATTATAATATCTAAGAGAAATAAAAATGGGTAACGGCTCCGAATGCGTCGCACGAGAATAACAAAGTGTTATTATATTGTGTATAATATAGTACTGGCTGTCGACCGTATGATAATATATTATAACTATTATAAATAACAAATGTTTAATAATACATTTTATTATTGACCATAGTATACTAACGTTTTCCTACAACTTTGATCGTCGTTTTACAATGAGTAGCCGTACTCGTGCATATTAGTAAAACTAATAATCGTAGGTATAATAAAGTAGGCATTGATCAAAATATCAGGTAATTGGCATTTTATTTACCATCACTGGAACTTACGTCATATAAAAGTGCATCTGCCCAAATTGAAGCGTCAATCAACAATCATAATAATTTAAGATGTTTGTTGTTGCTATGATATTTAACACAACGAACAAATTGGTACACAGATTTAAGGACGGTACATAATGCGTATTATGATATTTTTATTTTTATTTTTTAAAGCTTTACTGCATTTAGTCGGAAGCATGTTGTGTATGTATATATAATATATATGCCCACAATACGCATATTTAAATACGGTATGTAATGCATGCTACATTTATATCTCAAAAATGATATATATGTAAAATTGATACAGACAGGTAAAATATTTGTAAACGTCACAACTAAATTTGTACACCCACGATTCCAGTACAAACTTAAGCATACTTTTTAAAATGATTATATTGCTGGCTAAAAGAGTAGTAGTGATAGAATAGTTAATACCAATAAAATAGCTAAAAAAAATAATCTTTCATTGATTAATTTGCTGGAAAAGTGATGGACAATTAAGCGTAAATGTTGAAAATCCCAGTAAAACTGACCACAGTTGTGAATAAACATTATTAGTATGAATTTTAAATATTACCATTTTTCGATGAAACATCCAAATTGTGGTCAATGTTAACATAATGAGAATTAAAATTGATGTTCGAATTGTATCTAATTAAAAATAATATATTATAGATCTTTTGATATATTATTCAGAAATCTAAATGTATATAAAATGATCAAAACTTAAACGATTTGTTTTATAGCGTTAAAGCTACATAAAAAAAATATACTACACATACATTTCGATTAAACTAAACAATGAGTATACAGTATACTCATAAAATAAATTGAAACCGAAAGTAGATTACCATTTTGAATTATTATTGTGTATTTAAGTTCAACATTTATTATTATCGTTGCTATATTAATTTATTAAACGATATAATAACGATTAATCGAATTAACGATTAACGAAACTGTTATTCATAATGAAAACCAAACATGCAATTAATACAAATAATAAAACAGTTGGGATTTTTTTTATTGCATCTAAATGTTACTATGCATTGTCTAAATGTCCCTCAAAAAGTCTAAAATTTACTATTGGATTCTAAACAGTAAAAGCATATAATCAGTTACTACCAAAAAAGGCAAAGTTCCAAAGAAAAACTTTTCTAAAATTTGCCTCGAAATACAAAATTGAAGGGCGTGGTGTATATTTTGGCAAGTTACCAATTAAAAATGCATGTGCGCATGTTTTAGAATAAAAAAAATAAC